ATAATTTCATGTTCATCATAACCATAATTCCATAATACAGTTACTACGATGTTGGTACTAGCCAAGTTTCTCACTGTTCGGGAGAGACGGCGATTCGAATCGATTTCAATCAGCTGAGAATTTATTCCTAACACAAACCTAGTCAGATCAGATCAACGGTCACCTTAGGTCATATTTGGTACAACTTAGATCCACATTTCACAGGTTCGCCCAGCGTCGCACAATTAGGGACAACCAGCTGCCAGGACGTTCAGACCCGACCTGCCCTTGGGCTCACGTCTGGCTTCCCGTACATCCTTACTAACATTCAGAGTGCACACTTTTATATAACAGGGCCCGGCCTGAATTGAGCTACTTGGTTTCACGATCGAAATGAGTTATCCAGCCAGCTAAGTGAGAGGCATGTGTTCAATCTTGTTAGAAGCGTCCAACAACAGTACGGTCCTTAATCGGCACAGACGGATTCACATGAGTCAACCTACACAAAGACTTCACCCGGCCTCCATTTACATTACCCCATGGTTCTTTTCCACGATAGCAAATATAGCCAACCGTGCTTCGGTATCCATCTATATCTCGCAGGTGACAGGAAATCACCCGACTTTTACCGGTCTAAGCATGGCTAAGTATGTATTCGATCCTAGACCTACACAGGGTTAAAGGTATATGTATCTGGACAAGATAGTTTTATGCATCAAGTGTTTCCAATTCAACTCTTATAACCTAATGCATCAAACATAAAAGGAGTCAAGTGAAGTTTTATAAAACATAGAAGACTTAGAATACTCCGGGGCTTGTCTGCGATCCAACACTAGATCAGTGTTTGTTAGATGACACTCGCTTAGCGAGCATCTCCCATCTCGACACTTACTTAGTCCTTCCGTCTTTTGGATGGATTCACCAAACTCCATCATCGGGTTTGGCTCCAACATCACGTCCTTTACGTGGTGCATCTAGCGTACCTAGATGAGATGAAAAATACAGATGTATGAATGCATAGAAAATAACTCATGATGCATTGCAACAGGCATACAAAGGCAAGGACAAGGTAACATCATATTGACTTAAGCACTAGAGAGCAAGTCATTTAACTAATTATTACACAGGCCTATCATGGTAAGGTAGCAAGAAAATAACACCAAGCATTCACTAATGAGGCACTCAGATTAATCTACTTTAAGGAATCATCTAGCACAAGCTAATCCTAGTAATCATACATCAAGATCAAGCATAAGCAATCAACTCCAAGTATATGCACAAAATCTAGACAACAACATAACAACCACTCAATTTAACCATAACTCGAGTAATAGGCCTCCAACAAGGGTGATCCTAGACTTTCTAGATAGCTAATGAGATTATCTAAAACTTTGTTAATATCATCTAAGGGTGACTTCACAACTAAAAGGGTTAAACAACACAATGAAGACATCTCTGTCCAGATTTGGATAAAACCTGTCATCCCACTTCGAATAGCAATAACTAGAGTTCTAGACCACCAAAAGTAGTGATCTCAGATATTTTAGAAAGATTAAGAAAAGCACTACAACTCTCCTATTATCACCAATACATGATTCCATGTTTAAATGAGCCAAACAATACAATCATTCAGATCTGTTCAGAGGACATGCAAAAACTTGACAGCAAACTTCTAAAATCTATAACTCCTAAATCATCAGGCCTAAAATCATGAAATTTTAGAACAAGCAAGATAAGAAAATTATCTACAACTTTTGTATTCACCATACTTTCAAAAAACATCATTTGGTCTATGAAGTTATCATCACAACAGAAAATGCACATGCAGCCATTTCAGAATATAACAATTTGATGTTTCACTTGTTTTGCTAACAAAGAGCATGCACACATGAGCCATTCAAGAACATCAACCACCACTAATATACTTAGCAACACTTTATTGAACACCAATCACTCAAAGCATCACCAAATACAATTACAAGCTTTATCTATAATTATGCTTTTATTAATCCTTTCTCCTAATAAACATATATATAAATTTTAGTGATATATGAGAACAACTAGTTTGGGGCTGAGATTTTTATGAGTGGTAGATGTTATCAAAACATGGATACTGCATGAATTATCAAGCATATTATGGTTTCTCGGGTCATAATATCACCATGTAAGGTCAAAGAAACCACATTTCATATTTTTGCATATATAAATTATTTATAAACCATTTAAAATCGTTTATCAAGCATTAATCAAGTTAAATTCATAACTCAGCCATAGATGCACAAAAAATTATGGAATTTTAAACAGAGCTAACACATGCCATAAGTATACTAGCATAAAATTTTTAGGTCATTTGGAGCAGTACAATAGTAGATATGACGATAGAAAGCAAAGCAAGCTAGAATTAACCATTAATCATGATTAAATCAAAACATCATAAAAATAGTGATCAAACAACATGTTTAATATTTTTCTTAGCCAGCACATACCAAAACAAGACTCATAAAACTAGAATCACATTTTTAGGACATTCCTACCTCGAGATATGCATCTAACAAACTTAAAAGGATTTCTAAAAGCACTTTATAAGAATCAATAAAAACATCAGAAACTTTCTACTAACACATATCATATTATGACTCTACTGCGTAGATCTACTCACAAGGATTCTAAAAAGTCTCCATTTGCTATTTTACAATTTTTCTACGATTTATTATGATTTTCTAAAATTTTAGCCATAAAAAATAAACTTGCACCGAGGACCCCGAACTTCCACGAAAATAAATTCCAGCGAAACAGTCCTTCTAGGCACTATTCACATGAGTCACAGACTTTGCACTTAGCCCCCTGCACTTGTTTCTATTGTTGCGTGAGGTCCTTCGCCTTCTCTTCTTCACGGGACAGAGCAGGGGATGGCTTGGGGCCGGCCAGCCTTGGCCAGCAGGGGCCGGCAGTGGCGAGGAGGGGCAGCGCAAGCACCAACGTGCCCGCCCACACCCATGGGTGGCCATGGAGTGGCGGGAGGCGGCCGGTAGCGTCCCGGCCATGGCAGCCGAGCGTGGTAGCGGGAGCTGCTCCGGGGGCATGGCGAGCTAGTGGCGGAGGGAGGCGTGACGCGCGCTTGAGGGGCTAGGAGAAGGCAGTGAATGTGGAGCTGCTCTTGGTTGGACACAAGGTGGCGCAAAGGCGAGGGAGACGCAGGCGGCTTGGAGCTTTGCTCCGACGTCCATGGTGTCCACGCGCTCGAGCGCGGCACCGAGGGCGAGGGAGAGCGTGGAGGGAGTGGACAAAGTGAGGAAGAGACTGAGAAGGAGCATGGGCGCGTCCAAATCAAAGCGACAGCGCCAGCAGAGGAGGTGGAACACGCATCGGCATGGTGGGGCGCTGCTGTCCTGCATGGTGGTCACGCGCCCATTTCAACAAACAGGTGGCAGGAGACGATGTGGGCATGGTGGGAGCCGAATTGGTTCGACTACGGGCCAATTTGGACCTTGGGCCCAAAAGCAAAGTTGTCGCCCACCTGCTGATCTACAAAACTCATTAGGGGTGCCTGGCCATTAGAGCTCTCCATTAGCGGCTAATTAAGCTCCAATTTGACAGTGTCAACGACTTAACGAAGGTTAAGCCTTGCTCTGCTTGAGCTCCAATTACTTGGTCCAAACATGGTCAAACCAATCCCAACCTTTTGTATGTCCTTCAAGATGTAAACTCCAACTTTTATATTTGGCTCAACTTGAGTTGCCTAACAAAAATCCGAGAACGCGAGATGCCAATCATCATTGCCACTAAAATTCCAGACTTAGCCAAAATTTCGAGATCCAAAACAGCACTGGATTCAGTTTTGAGTCCTCAGTTTGACTAAGTTAGGGACCAAACTAGCTCATGACCCTTAAACAAAGTTTATTGTGCACATCTTGCTCTGCAACTTTGCTTAAAGAATCATGGACCGGTTCAGCTTAGTTAGGAAGATACAATTCTCCAAAGTGGGGTACACGAAACTGAAACCAAGATTCAGTTAACTCCTAAAAACAGTTAGTCTTTGCTAATTTTGAAACTAACTTCGAAGATCCAAATGAACTCCAAACTTGATGAGACTTGCTTCATTGTTTCTAGCACAAAGTGTATTTCAACTAATATTAAATAATCCAGTTGAGTTACCATATGAATTTAGAAGATAAAAATTCATAAACATATCAACTTGCTGTTGTCAATCGGGGACTTGGAAATATTTCTGATAGGTCAAAACAGCACTGCATCCAAACTTGAGGCCACTGTTTGAGCCACTTAGAAGTTGAATCAGAGCTTGGTCCAAAAATAAAGTTTGTTGTACTCCACTCAAAATTCAACTTTTATTAAAGGTCAAACTTCATAACTTGTTTCCACACTGTTTTTTGACCTTGGTTAAAGGAGCATCACGATAAACCTTAAATTGGAGTTTTAGATCGACTGAGGTATTTTCTTGGCATTTGCTCAACATGGACCCTTCATGACTTTTGTGGTAGAGTTCAATTAAAGTCATTTGGGTAAGGTAACAAGGTTTGGTCGACATCACATGTTCCCATTCACCTGATGAAGCAATTCAAGAAAGATAATAACTTATCATTTCATGTGACTTCTTGATCCCAAAATTCATGAAACTTTTCCACTGGTCAAGATTGATGCATGTTGATGTAATGTACATGAAACAAACATGTTTAACATTACTCATGCCTAACCTTAACTAAGGTCAAGCAAAGGTGTGTTATCTAAGTTCAGGTTAGGACTCAATTTCATAGATTGGACCACAACACCTTCATCATCACTTCAAAATTATAAACTAGAGATCATGCTCATTGCTTGACATAGTTTACTTAAGTCCAAATCCATTGCTTAACTTGTGACTAACACCCGAGGTGTTACAATGCTCTCCCTGATTGTCCAGGTCGCATGCCAATCATTCCCTGATGCATGCACACTTGATAGAGCAACCCAGTTGCTGTGGTTCTCAGGGTCAAGCTTGAGCAAACAGGATGCTGCCAATTGACTTAACTTGGCATTCCCATATATTCGAGATGAGTTAAGTAACGCACTCCAAGCAGCAACGCTCGAGTCAAATCGCATATTCTTAATGAATTCAAGAGCTTCTTCCAGGTAACCTCTCCTGCATAGGAGATCTGCCATGCATCCATAGTGCTCAGGTTGCATCTTAACTGAGCTTGAACCATCAGACATCAAATTGAAGTAGTACCAACCTTCTCTAACAAGTCCACCATGGCTACAAGCTGACAAAACCGCAAGATATGCTATGCCATCTTGTTTTATTCCCAAGTATGCCATCCTGTCAAACATGCTGACCGCATCCTGTACACGGCCAAACTTACCATAAGCTGAGATCACTGTGGTCCAAAGAACAGCATCATTTGATGAAACTGCTTTGAAGACAAGCTCGGCCGAATCAACACAACCACACTTTGCATACATATCCACTAAGAAGTTCCTGACAACAACATCTGCCTCAAATCCACCACCGACAACCTGTGCGTGCACCTGCATCCCCTGCTTCAATAATGCCAGCTCCCCACACGCATCCACAACTATGGAGAATGAGAAGCCATCCACGGCAACACCACAAGAAACCATGGAAACAAACAACCTCAGTGCATCCTCAGCCTGCCTACTCCCAAGAAGAGCTGCCATCATCGAGTTCCAAGCAACTATGTTCCTGACATGCATCACCCTGAACACTCTCAATGCATACTCTACGCTTCCACACCTTGAGTACATATCACGAACCCCGTTCTCGACAACCGGGTCAACTGGTCCATGCAAGCTAAGCTTCACCACACTGGCATGGATTTCCTTCCCGAGAGCAAGTGCACCCTGACCGACACCAGCACAAGCCAGCAATCCACCGGAGAGGGAGTAGCCGTTGAGCTCGACACCAGAGCCCACCATGTGAAGGAGCAGCGCGAGGGATTCTCGGTGTAGTCCCTGGTGGGCGTGGCCGGTGATGAGGGATGTCCGGGCGGGGCATTTCGTCGAACAGTGCCCGCGCGTACAGTGGAAGGCCGCTTCGCAGCGCCAGGTGCGCCAGGGAGGTGGCGAGGATGCCGGAGGCAGAGAGGCCGAGCTTAAGCAGCACCGCGTGGAGTGGCGCGACGTGGGGCGCGGAGCGGCAGGCGGCCGCGGTCTTCAGGGCGGAGGCGAGGGACGTGGCGTCCCACGCTGGGGTCGGCCTCTGCCACGAGGCCCATGGAGGTGGCATGCCTGTAGCCGCGTGAGACTAGAAGATCTTCTTGCTCGGAAAAGGAGAAAGAGGACAGGAAATGCGGCGCGAGTGAGTTCGCCGGCGGCGGAGTTGTGAGAAATCGTGGACCGCATTGGCATGGAGACGGCGGCTACGGATCTTTCAGAAAAAAAATGGAGACGGCTACGGGCTCCGCCATCTTCGTGTTCGGCCGGGGCGTCACCCACCGCACGCTCGTCCAGCGCGGGCCCGCGCTCGCCAGCCGGCCGCCGGCCATCGCGCCCTTCGACGTGCTCAACAGCGCCCAGAGCACCCTCAGCTCCGCACCACACGGCCCGCTCTGGCGCTGGCTGCGGCGGAACCTCACCTCCGGCATCCTCGGCCCGTCACGACTCACGGGTCCCGCTGTTCGCGCCGGCGCGGCGGCAGGCTCTGGCCCTGGTTTCCGACCTCGGGCGCCAGAGCAAGGACGGCGGGGGCGTGGTGCTTATCGTGGAGTGCCCTCCAGTTCGTCGTGTTCTCGCTGCTCACCCAGAAGGGGAGATGGAGGCTGTGCAGAGCGGAGAAGAAACAGAGGAGAGAAAGCCCTGGCAAGTGGAGTGGGCTAAGATCCGTTTGAACCCAGATAAGACCCAAAATCAAATTTAGAGACTCCAAAATAACATTTTGATAGCAACCTAGATGACACGCCACGTAAGTTTGATGACACCACGTCAAGTTTGAGGACAGACCATGAATCTTCTGCAACTTTATTGGTTTGTTGCAACAAAGGATTAATTCCAGCATTCCCTTTATTGCTTCTTTATATATTGGGGGGAATTTCTTGTGTGCCATTAAAAAAAATCACAATGCCCTGTGTGTCTCTGAAAAAGTTCAGCGGTCTTCAGCACTACTGTGCCCTCCATGCCACTGTTGTCAGTTTGGGCTCTAACGCCATCAAACTGCAGGTGTGAAAAGTCAAAAATACCCTTATGTCTAAATATGTCATTAATTTTTTTTAGCATCTTAACGACTTCAAATGAAAAAAAAACTCAAAACTAGAAAGTTGTAGATCTCGTCGAGATCTATAATTTTCATATAAAAATTATCTTCACTTAATTCTGCAAAAAATATGATTTGATAAAAAAATTAATGACATATTTAGACATAAAGGGTATTTTCAACTTTTCACACCTACAGTTGACGGCGTTAGAGCCCAAACTGACGGGGCGCTGAAGACCGCTGAACTTTTCCATGGGCACACAGGACATTATGATCTTTTTTTAATAGCACACAAGGAATTCCCCCTTACACATTTGGTTGATTTCCCTAATTCCCTTTATTAACTCATTCAGCCTGTTCGCTGGTTGGTTTTTGAGCTGATAAACTTGGCTGGTGCTGGTTTGTTGTGAGATAAAAATACTATACCATAGCTGATAATCCCTGGCTAAAACCAACAAGCGAACAAACTGATTAACTCACAGGTTGAAACATTGGGGCTTTGCTTCATTTCAATTTCAACACAACAAAAGAGTTACAATTGATTTAAGCTGTCAGTTGCAAATCACAGCCAACCTGTTCAGTGAAAGAAAAAGAGGAAACTAACTCCTATGCTAAACTACTCAAAATCGTCGTCAGAAGCTTTCCGGATCAACCTCCTTCAAGGTAAAAGCTTGACATCATAGTGAGATACCTGCTACATTCAAAATGGAGGAATTTGTGAGTTTACAACTATACACTGATTTACAACTATAAAGGACGCAAATAAAGATTTAAGTAACACCCCACACTAGTATAGCATTGAGCGGTAGAAAAAGTAGAAAACCCCAAAAATACAAAGATCAACATTGCGCTCTAAAAACAGTATCCCTTCTTTTTTTTTTAAATGACTTCTAGGATAAGGTAATTATTACAATGAAGTGATTAGCTTGGCATAAACGTCATATATTTTAAAACAGATTCAATATATCAAAATTCCAGCCCATGCTAAAGATTTTGTGTTTAGAGTCCCACGTCTGGTAAACATCCCTGTTTGGTTGAGCTGTGGCTGTGGAAAAAAGCTGTTGTGGGCTGTGAGCTGTGGAAAAGCTGCTGTGGGCTGTGAGCTGTAGAAAAGCTGAAAGCTGTTTGGTTAAACAAGTATAAAATATACATTTTATCTTTATCTCTCTTGAAACAACTATGGAAGAGCTTTTTATTCCACCAATTTCGAAAAGCAGAAAGCCAAAAGCAGGGTCAAACCAGCTTTCAAAAATGAACTACGGAAAAGCAGCTGCTTCTGAAAAAACACCCTCCAAAAGCAGCCCCTTTGGTTGGACTTTTGGCTTTTGGGGCCAAAAGCCAAAGCCAAAAGACCAACCAAACAGGGCCTAAAGAGAAATTCAAATGATATGCTAAAGTTTTCTAGCTCGGACCAATACCTCAACAGTTTTTAAGTCTCTGTCATAGTCTAAAACTGTTCAACCACCAAGTGAAAGATAGACACACAATCACCTAAATAGAAAGACATATAATGCATGGGCGGGCTACAATATGATTACACAATAATCAAACAGAACTATCTCAAACTCCAAACACGTTGCCTCGCGAGAGAGCACAAATGTGAAGACAAGAATAATGAATGTTGTGATCAATGGTCATTGGAAGCAAGGCTGTGAGGAAGTGATCAATGCGAGACCCATCAACCAAACAACAGCCTCGGACTATCAGACCACTCAATTTGTTTAGATTGTTCATGTCAATTTTATAGTTACCATTTAACTCAAGGGAGATCAACCAAACTTAGGACAGCTCTAGGAAATGATTCATTCAGGGACAGAGGGAGTAGCTTAGATCACAGATAAGAGATGATGTAGCAGCTTGTTCGAGGCCATCGCAGAACAGATGGAAATCTGAGCGGCACAGAGAACTGCAGTTTTGTTGTCGCCAACCTTCAATGCAAAGATCGCCACTTATCTGGCGCCTTTTCTCTGCAAATTGGCTTCACCACTTTTAAACCATTATATTCATGGAAACGGATTCAAAGCAACAAATAAAAAAAAAATAAGGACAAGCACAGACAGAGGGGAGGTAAACTCGAGAACCATCAGCGGCAATTAGATTTGACCTCAAATAAGATTCAGTCCGCATCATGGTTGGATCTGTCGACCCACATCATCTAGTTCTCAGGTATCACTCAAGAACTCCACGAAACGCAACCAAATAAGTATCACATTAAGCAGCACGAAAAAATGGAGATAGAAGAAAGCACACATGTAAGTAGAAGGCTCAGACGAAAAAAGGGTAGAAAGTTTGTTTGTCAGCCCAAAGAGAGAAAATCCCCTCATTCAGAGTGGTGCATGACTTTGCATCATCATTGCCCTTACAACCTAGCTTTCCTATGCATACGAGGAAGAAAGAGGAACAACAGAAGAGATAACAGATCGAAAATCAAGCAATGAACACACGACGGCAATCAAAATACATGACACAAAAGAGAAAACAGATCCAAATCAAGCAATAAAAACACAAGCAGAAGAAATGACGACTTGGCTGGCTCCACCGGACAGAGGCGGTGACGTGCCAAGGCAACGATTCCTTAACTGCTGTGGCAGCAACGACATGGTAGGACTGGATAACCATTAAAGGCAATCGCCCTGTTCGCTTGAACTTATCAGTCATGGTACAATGTCTTTTTCTCACAACGAAACAGCATCAACCGGCTTATCAGCGGCAGAAACTATCAGCCGAACAGCCCGAATAGCATGAGTGTATTGACTACCTAACCTAGTAAGGCACAATTTACGACAAGACAAACCAAGAAGGGTATAGAATACAGTTTTCTAGCTCAGACCAATGCGTCAACAGTTTTTTAAGTCATTAAACATAGTCTAAAACTGTTCAACAGCCTAGTGAAAGATAGATACATAATTACCTAAATAGAAAGGCATATAATGCAGAGCCGAGCTACAATACGATTACACAATAATCAAACAGAACTATCTCAAACTCCAAACATGTTGCCACGCGAGAGAGCACAAATGTAAAGACATGGATAATGAATGTTGTGGTCATTGGAGGCAAGGCTGTGAGGTGGCGATTGATGAGAGACCCATCAACCAAAGTACAGCCTCGTACTATGAGACCACTGCATTTGCTCTAGGGCCCCAACATCCGAGCACCCCACAGAGAACCTGCGGGTATTTCGAAGCTAAAAGGAGAGCTTCCCCCAAGTGGCATGGGACCCCTTAATTAGACACAAACAACAGAAGGATCAAATACAAAGCAACCTAAGACCGCAGCTTCACATTCCGGTTAGACAGCCCTTGAAGGTCTACATCACCAGCATACAAGCCACAATCAATTGCTTGCATTAACACTGATAGAGGTGTGTTCAACCTGACATCTAAGCACTTGCATCATGGAACACTCATACGAGTTGTATTCAAGCGAAGTATGTGCATCATCGCACACTGATTGAGTGGCATTCAAGCTGGCATGTAAACTGATATCCAACAAGCAACACACCACACATTGAAACGACTGAAGTGAGCAAGGCATTCTACCTCGGTTAGAGTCAGACACTGCTGGGGTACATGAACACGCGGACCTTCTTACCCTGCAACACCATTAAAACACACCCGTCAGAAAGGCAGACAGAACAAAAAGAATACCGAGTACTTGAAAAAAAAAACAGCAATGGAGGGGCTCACCATGGAGCTGGGCGGGAGGTTGGACCGGAACTTGGCGC